CGATTAAGATCAGGATTTATTGTTGCTATAAATGCTGCTTTCGAAATTTTTTGTTATTTATTATGAAAAGTAAGTTTTGCATAGTTTAATTTTGCTCATGTCTCTACTACTGATTTTTCCATGAAGTAGACATTTATCTGCTTATTTGTGTGCGTAAATGATGCTCAAATTGTTTGATCCATTCCAAACGCAAAGAAACACGTTTTGCAATGCTCACATAGAGAAGCTACGGTAACTCACTCAGACATTTTAATCAACTTTGATAGATGATTCTATGGTAAAAATAAGAAAATACCTATTTAGTTATTCATGCTGATAAGTCTTACTTTCTAAGATATTGTTAAATTTAAAAAATGTATTGTTTTCTTTATGTTATATATTAGAAATATAAAAATCTTATAACTAACGTTTAATAAAATGGTAAACATCTAAATTCGTAATTCAAGAATCCCGGTTGAGGCTGGATGATTTATTCAGTTCTTTTTTATTGTATCAATATAAATGAAAATAATCAACTAATTCATTCTTTTTGTATCTTACATCTTATATATTATTTATTATTTTTTTGAAATCAAAACGAGTTTATTTCCATACTATCTATCAGGTGGAACTACCAATGCTATTTTTTTTTGTAGTATTCCCATGTAGGATTAGTTCACTTTATATTATTACTATTATAATAATAATATGTAGCATATAATATATAATATAACAATATAATAATAATAAAAATAATGAGAAGAAAAAGTAAAAGATATATATATATATATATATATTTAAATATTATATATCATATATAGGCTACAATATATGATGACGGTGATCTATAATAATAATAGCAGAAAGAATATATTTAAAAGAACAATGTACAATGTATAATTTACATTTGCTAGTATCTCATAAAGATCTCTGTCTTTCCTTTTAGATACATTTCATGTGTCAATTCGCGTGATGATTTTTCGCGCGAATTTTCAATAAATTATTTCTTCGATAATTTGGATACGTGATCATCTACCAATAGGTATATTTAATATACCTATTAGTAGACCCGTTGAGATACGATAGTAAATATGTAATATTTCTTTTATTTTCGACCGTTTTCATTTATCTTTGTCTTTCAGCTTTATAATCATATCATCAGTTTATAATACTAATTTTAGTTTTATTCCGTTTTTGCTTATATCGATCTTATTTTAATTCTTATTGATTTTGTGAAACTGTAATTTGTATGATATTCTATGATGAAATCGATATGAAGAAAAAATGGGAATTTCTTAATAATTAATTATCCATAATGATATCATTGTTTTTTAAATAGATAAGTGTAATAAAAATTTAAGCAATTCCAAAGGAGAAATCGTCGTCGGTCTATATGCGGACTTACTTTATTTCAAGAGTTTGGAAAAACCCTACGATTAGGAAAAGAATCTTAGCAAATACACATTGTTCAAACATGTATTAGTCTTTATCAAAATAAAGGAATGTTCGGATAAAAAATTCTACATTTTTGATTTGAAAACAATTGCAAATAAGACATCCTTATGACCATCTATCTTAAGTTTCCAAATAATAACACGCCGTCGTTAACTTTATTATTATAATGAAAAATGCCCTGTAAGAATTCGAGATGAGCTTTGAAGAAAAAAGCTAATCCGAATCTTGATAAAATATGAAGTTTTATTATTGTGCTTAATTAAAAAAAGAACTTAATATACTATGATCTAAGACAGTCTACATTCGTGTAACTTGTTACACGTATAATATTCTCGGCGGTTACTTCCGAACTGTGTTTCCTGGTTTTCTTTATCCTTTAACTTTATCCAAACAGAGTAGCGATAGCCGTATGTATAACACATACATTTATTCAATGATGCTGACACTCACATCCCATAATAGTAATGTACATACTATTTAAATATTTTTATTATTATTATTATTATTATATTTTATATTATATATTATTATTATAGTAGTAATATTAATAGTAGTAATAATAGTAATAATATAAAATGGAACTAGTCTTATAGGGAAACCACAAAAAATAGCTTCTATTTTGTAAATAGTATGGAAACGAACTCACATGTTTTGATTTTTATTACAATAATATATAATGTATAATGTATAAGTATATTTATTAATTATTATTTTTGACAAAATAATCGACAAAATACTTTTTATGTATAAACGTATAGATTTATACATTTAATTATATGTATTAATTATATTTACTATTCTCAATACATTTATCATAAAACAAATATGTACTCGTATTTAGTATGGCAAAACACATGCTACCATTAAAGAAGGATATAAATATGAAAGACTGGAAACTTATGAGTTCAGTCTACTAATACTATCTATTCTGACTTACACTAACCTGATTGTTATGTTATGAGTATGAGGGATATTGCCAATAAAAATTTATACACCGATATGATGAATGCATAGTGGAAATAGTGTTCTCCTGTTATACTTGTAATATATATTTTGTCTATATTTGTCTATATTTCTTTTTGAGTTAAAGGTAATGAACAGTAAATAGGTTTGTATTAATTATAAAATTAGGAAGCTTATAATTTTGTTCATGGTACGCAATATCACGATATGAGATATATAGAATGTTTCGAATTTGCTTTGATTTGCTAGAAAAAAAATCAAGTTCTTTTAAAGAAGATATGGATGAACCTAATATTTTAAAAAATATGATTTTTAAGACTAAAATTTTTCATTTTTATTATCTCAAACCCTTCGAATCATATATTTTCTTTCATAAAAAATAACTGAGATATTCACACTTCTACTTTTACCTCTTTTGTATTTATTCATCTATATTATATTTATATACGAATATTATTACAGTTTTTTTATTGTTATTATGATAACAACGAAATGATATTTATTCTAAATAGTTTGCGATGGATACACGTTTGATCTATTTATTGATAAAACAATTACGATATCGATTCCATTGGTCGAGCCTAAAGTGTAATAAAAAAGAATACTTTTAAGCACAAAGGCGAGAGAAAAGTTTTTTCCATAAAGTTTACATGGCCAATAGCATAAAAAATTTGTCAGAAGTTATTTTCGCTCAACGTGCTGCAAGGAGATAAAACTAACTTACTCGCAGAATATAAAGTTATTAGTTGAGGTATTCAATTTACTAAGTTACTCGGAAATGGGTCGTCGTTATGACGACATTCTAGTTTTCGCGGACTGACCATCAGTATGTTTCTCATTTTCACTCTATGAATATAGCAATTCTGTACATTGGTTCATGCGAATGCTCGTTTACAGAGCTTATATCTCGAATATTAAGAAACGAATTGCATTCGTTTATTCATACATAGGATTTATAAATAGGATTTGTTTTATCTTAAATATTGTTGCATTATGTGTATATATATATATTACATAGACATATTATTATAGTCTGTAATAATTATATAGACATATTATTACAGTTTGAGTTCATGTTTGTAACTTCCTCTATTCTTTAATCCCTTCTTTTTTCTCTCTATTGGATGGGAGGAAATTTAAGAAATGTCTCGCCATTATTACGTAAAGTCTTTCGGAGTCTTTCAGACGGTCTATTATCAGTGATTTTTCTCGAAAAAACAAAGAAAACAACGAGAGTGGTAGGTTTGCCTTCTTTCTCCTTTTCTTTCGCTATATTCCAAGAAGGCGTTGAGAGAGAGGGAGAGAAAGAGAAAGATACAAATCGAGAGATGATCTCGCCCTCCTGAGTCTATTTGCGGGGACAAATGTTTACAATAAACTGGCAACGTAGTAATTTTCCTGCGCCACGTGCCTTCGGCCATAGACAAAAGAGTTATTGTCTAGCACTGCCGCCCTATAGAGGATTGTTCGTCTATGAAGGAGAAAGAAGAGGGAAAAGGGAAGAAGAAATGGATGGGAGTATGCGTAAAAGAAAGAGACAAAGAGAGAAAGAGGCAAAGATGTCAGGCCGTAGGCGCGTGTACATGCAAGAACGATTCTCGAATTGTACTTTTTATCGAGAAACTGATTTTCCTCTGGTGTTCGCAAGATTGATATGCTAAAAAGAAGAAAACATAGTAAGACTTTGGATGATCTTGTTTTCGATCTCATCTCTCTGCATCGAAGGATTAGATTGGTGCGTGAGAGAAAGAAAAAAAGAGAGAGAAAGAGATACTAACGAAGGGATGAAAAGATAGTGCAGAGTGAATACGAGAGAGACCTGTATAGTTGGTAGCAGATGCAGCCTGCTGCGTTGGTGAAATTAAACCGCAGGAGCGTGTTCGTACCATGGGAATTTCTCCCCGTATCAAAATTAAAGTCACGTATATGTCTTCGAAGAGTAGATTCGAGTAGCCAAGTAACGAAGAAGAGACGAGGGCCGAGTTAAAACAAGCTGCGATTAAAGCTCGATACGTGTATGCACCGAGCTATGAGAGTAAGGTTATTCTAAAGCGACGTTGCTTCTTCGCCTTTGAAAGGATCGTACTAAAGAAATCGAAGCCGCTCGAGTATACCAAAATTAAAATCATGCCTTGATAAAAGAGAAAAATCTTTAGATGTATGCGCCTAAGCTTTATACAATTCAAAGTCTTTCCTTTCTTTTTCGCTCAACAAGAGATATCCGTTGTCCTTACTGATTCTTTTTTTTTATTTCCCCCCTTTCTTTTTCTCTTTCACATCGACCATATTAATGGGTATAATCCATAGAGAAACTTGCAACAAGTTAAATAAATTCTTTATCAGTAAATTGAAAAACTGTGAAAGAAAGAGAAAGAGAAAGAGAGAGAGAGAGAGTAAGGGGGAAGAGAAATGAAGAACAAAAAAAAATATTACGAAACTTCTCTTATTTAGCTTTTTCTGTCTTTTTTTTATTATTTTGCTTTTTTGCGATGGGAATTTGACTAATTTCCTTCGCTCGTTAAATGTTTTACTACTTAAAAAATGAAGACTGGGAAGTTTTTTTATAAAATTTTTATCCCCTTTTCTCTCCTTTTCTACAACTCGATAACATTCTTTTTTAAACTACTTTAAATATAAAGTTGGTAAAAAAAGTAATAATGAAAATAAAAAGCGAGATCGATTTCCTGTAATCGAGTTATTACCCCAACAAATTTTCGCTTGCTCTTTTAGATTGTCATTTTAAATTTAATTCATATCGATTGTAAATGCACATAAGAAAAAGTTATGATGTTTGTCCATTCGTTTAAATACGTATATAACATCGAATTATTAGTAAAAGGCGTCTTCTTTATACCTGATGGTCTAAATTATCGAACAATGAGACCAAGTCACGCAATTTGGCATACAATTTGGTATATAGATGCTTATATAAGTACAGATATGTATGTACCTATGCGATGTATACATGGATGATCTTCGCTCTGCGAACAAAAGTAAACGCTGCGCATTAAAATTCAAAAGCTGATGTTGTGTTTCATTATTATCGACTCATGAATCATCAAGGAGAGATTAGCTTCACAGATTACGTGATCGTAAACTCGTTCGACAAGTTAGAATCTTGAGACGTTATACGTACATGTTTTTAAAGATGATTCAATTGTAATGATTCTCTTTCACGAAAGTTACATTCGAAATGTAATGTTAATGTGACATAAATGCTGTTGAGAAGGTTTCTTAGGAATAATAGATATCCTATTTTTTCTCGTTTCTTTTTATAATAAAATGAATATCAAACGAAATAAATTTTGTTCTTTTTTTTTATTTCTAATTAATTGAAATTTCCGTTTCAGATGATAAAGACAATCGTGTCTTTAAATAAAGGACAACAACGCTTAAACTGTGTATCATTAAGGTAATACAACGAACGCATTTAGATGCATTTATAATTCAATAAGCGAGGAGATGAAAATTTTATTGGCGAACGTGTTTCAGGGTCCGTAATAAGTATAAATAGTACCTATGTAGTCTCGTATCTGTAAAAGGTGCGACATACCTATACGGTGTATTCGTCTTCTTTCTCATGGCTTTCTCTAAATGGTAGTTCGCCAACCAGTTTTTATACGGATTACATTTTTCCATTGACTTCATGTGCTCCATTTCGTCTACTTTCAGTCTTCGTTTTTTTCTCTATAGGCTCCTTTTTTCTAAGAATAGTAGAGACTTTACTGAATCAACTATGGTTTGAAAGATCGAAGAAATAGTTCACCCTCAGATAGAACAGAACTTTAACTTGAATTGTAGTCGACATGAAAATGTGGGTCACGGTGCTTCGCCAGACCAATGCGTGGTTGCTCGGAGGATAGCAACTAGAGGTACGCACGGGTATCCGGCATGCGTACCGCGCCCGTAATCCTTGAGAGGCGAATCGATTCGCTGCGAATCCTGCGATCCTCGGTGCACCGCCGATAATCTTTTTTCACTATTGTTATATTCTATAATTTTCCATTTAACCGCGCATACAACAAATTTTATCTTCTGAAAATGAAATTCTCAATAATTATCTTTTTTTTCTCTTAATTTTATAATTTCTCATGTTTTAACTCTATCTTACGTATCGTTACTAATATTAAGTACTTTTTTTGAGAAACAGATATTATAAAGAATACAGGAGAATAGATATTTTATAAAGTTTACAAATAAATGATCGAAAAATCGCTTCAATGCAGCCTCTTTTTTGTAAGCCTAATGTTAATAAGTACTAGATTAGCAAAAACAAGAGTTAGTTTCTCATTCGATTACGGCATCTTGATACGGATATATGAAAAAATCATGTCGATGATTTCGTACTATATAAATATAAATATTGCTATTTGCAATAGAGAAAAGTGTTTGGATTGCATCTATATTGTGTTTATATTATGCCATTTGCGCTGTTGTACGTTTCGATAAAATTCTATTTTAACATTATAATGCATCAGTTTTATATGATTTATTTACACGCGAGTATACTAAATAAATAAATATATTTGAAATAATTTACCTAGATACTTAGATTAATATTTGCAATTCAAATGGGAACTTTGTATAATGTGGAAAGTATGGTCTTATTTCTTTTCAAACATACACATACACGTACAATATGCAATTCAAGTTTAGCATTCTTTTTGTCATATGTACTTATATAAATAAGAATATATGTTCTTATGCTCCTTTACCTGCGACTGCCTAAGTTCTTAATCAATTAATTAGGACAAGAAGTTTAATCTATCGATTAAAAGATCCAATAAAAAAGGAAGAAGAAAAGGAACCAAAAGCGATGGTTGAGCATCACTGTCAACCAACGTATTCCCACTGCTCGGGCGAACGCGCCGCGCGCCCCACCAAACCATAGCCAGCAACCACCGCCACTACCAACGAACTCCCCCACTACATCTCGTAATGGCCCAGCTCCTCCACACCCCGCTTCCTGCGTCCGTTGCGCGCAGCCACTAGTCTACGTCGGATGCTTGCCGCGTGTGTATCGTTTTATTTGTCTGTGCCTGCCCTTTTTCCTCTCTTTTCCTACACATACTTCTCTTTATTTACCATCACGAATTTCGACGCGATCGAACAAAGAAGAAATAGAAAAGTGTACGAGTGCGGTTATCCTCTTTCGTGTCTCATTTCCTTGTGGAAGGATCTCCGCGACGATTCCTCGTTCTTCTTTTTCTCACTTTCTGTTCCTTTCTCTCTCTCTCTCTCTCTCTCTCTCTCTCTCTCTCTCTCTCTCTCTCTCTCTCTCTCTCTCTCTCTCTTTCTCCCCGTTCTTCTCTCCCTTCCTTCCTTTCTCTCTACACATACACACATATATATGTACAGAGCGAAGGGAGAGAGATAGAAAGAAGCTTCGCAAGAAGGAAGAAATACGGGTCTCGTCACGACCGCCCCACAAACGTTGCGTCGTTCAGTGATTTGTTTTGACATGTGTGCATAGGCTGCCATATTGGATTATAGAGCATCGTAGCATCCTGGTGAAGGAAGATTGAAATGATTTGCGCGTCCTAAGGAAAATTGGTGAGTAAAAACGTTTTTTGATCTTTCTCCTTTAAACTTTCATTCTATTGTTTCGTATTCCCCTCTCTTTTGTCGTTTCCCATTCTCTCTCTCTCTCTCTTTCTTTGACTGTACAACGAAACAATGGCGTTTTCGTGTCGCTCGATAATGAGCGTCGAGACAGCGATCGCGATAAACTGGCGACGGTTTAATAATGTGCGTTCAAGCGCAGGAGAGTTGGCCGAATGCCACTTTGATTCGATCTACCCTTTGAAAACAGGAGACGATTGACAACTTTCCGAACGTTCGGATGTATTCGAGGGCTTTCTCTTAGCTGTTCGTTGGAATCATCCCAGTGCTGCTCGATACTGACTCGTGGGAAATGCAAAAAAGCATGGCCGATGATCGCTGATCGATTCTCACTCTCTTTTGTCATTTTTAATGTTCTTGACTTTCTATCGTTTATGCCGATGACTATACGACTTGAACGACAACTACAACTACAAAAGATGACGGTTCTTTCAGATCGTTCTTAAGATTGAGAAAAAAGCAATAATGGTGAATCATATAACGAATTAATGCATAGTCGTGCTATCTACTAGATGACACATTTTCATTCTCATACGAATGATTAAATGGTTCGGATTTGTATTATAAGTTTCAATTAAACATATATACATGCTATTTATGCACTATGTAAATATGTAGAAACATGAACAAGGTTGTCTATTGTATCGATACGATCAACTCAGTATTAGAAACATTTTTTTTCCACTAACGAAATCGATATTTAAAATGATACCACTCTATGACTTTGTTAGTCTCTTTACCGTTTAAAAGATCTCACATACATACGTGCGCACACATGGGCGCGCATACTCACGTACAGAGCTCCGAATCGTTTTGACCCAGATTGCTGAACGTCATTTTTTCTTCTTTTTTTATAGTCGTTTATTAAGGGTCACTCCTTTGATCGTTCGAACGTACAATTATCACGTTTAAACATAACGAATTCGCAAAATAAGTGTGTATACATATATGTGTTCGGTATAAAAGAAATTGTTTTCATATTATTTATATATCTATAGAAAAGTTTTTACTGTCAATCAAATCAATTTTATGTGCTTCATAGGTTTATATGTTGCATTTGATCATGTAAAATTTTCCAAATAGGTTCAAAGACATTGTTTATTGTAAAAAATCTTATGTATATCTGTGAAGAATGATATTTGTAAACAGAAAGAAAAAAAGAGAAATATATTCGTTGGAATGTTACATATTATACTTTGTTTGCATGTATTCAATCAAGTATACGTGTCTAGAGTGCATACGCATACGCATACGGTTGTGTACACGTGCATACATTACGTAAACTAATATATAGAAAGCCAATAGATTTATTTATACACTATGCTGTATCTATCGATACTGTTCTCTATCGATCACTAATAATTATATGTGGATTAGAATTACCTATATTTTAATATGTAAGACGATGTTCGCATTTATTATAAAATTTATATACATAGGATATCAGATGTAACTGAGAATTGTATAGTGAGAAACTTTAATATGAAAAAAATAGTAAACTAACGACTTATATTTTACTTTCTCCATTAACATGTTAAGTGTCCTAGCAATTTATACATAAATCGATATTTTCCTCTTTTATACTTCTCTAAGAGATGTATAATGTGATATATTTTTTTATATTCTTTAAAAGATGTAATAACATGTGCACTACATGCGCACAGTCGTCAGTAACCAGGTCGACAAACAACCACAAAAGCAGGCGATCAAACTCGACGAGTACATCGCAATGAATCGACCGTACATCGCTCCAGTTTTCATGGTCGCCGCGACCAAGTGCGTACGTGCCCATATTATTTCTTTAAATGTGATGCTCATCGGCAACTGCTCTTAAATTTTCAAATGTATAGAATAAAAGATACAAGATAATTCATTGTCATGCCGTATATATTAGATTTTACCCTTATTGAGAAATATATTTTTAGTTGTGACACTAAATGTCACTAAAGAAATTTTAAAAACCTTTTCAATAAAGTCTGTAAAATTCAGTCATCGGTAATCCTTATAGTATTCAATGTGTTAAATTGATGAATTTGGAAATTTGTGAATTACGTAACGATAAGAGGAATGATTCAAGAACTCCCACGCGTATACGTCTCTCAAAAAGAGACACGTAGGAAGAACTCTGTAGCAGCTTTTCGGCGTGATACCAAAAATATCAATGAATAATTATTGTTATTGTTTATAACAAACTTAAAGACAACTTAATGATAATATATAAAAGTATGTTTTCCTTTTTTTATTCAGGCACATATTTTATTCATATCTCATTTACATATACATTTTGTTGATGTTGCAAAAATAACACGTTTCTTTCAAAAAATAGTTTTATTTTCTTTTGAACTGATAATAAAATTGGATTTGTTAAAAGACAAAAGAAGGGATGGAACGAAGATAGTTTTGTTTATTTGAAAAAGGGAGAAGAGAAAACGAGGACCACTGGCACAGTTTCGAAGTACTTTCGTGCCTTCGTAATCGCTTTTGTTTACCGTTAAGTCAAAATTGGCTGAACTCTCGCTGTCTTCGTTGAGGACGACGTTACAACCGGTTCACGAGGACCATTATTCTCGCCTCATCTTTCGCCGTAGCAGCGGTGCTCGCTTCGGTTCGAAAGAACAAAGGAAGTCGTCCTACTCTTCATACTTGATGCATGCACGCACACATACACATTTTCGTTTATTTATTACAGATTGTGCTATAGGATTTTAAATTTTAACATGACAATTTTTTTTTGCGTATTAAAAATGGAAAGAAAGAAAAAATTATCTTGAACGAAAGTTTAATCACAAATTAATATATTTTATTTCTCGAAAGATAATAAGAAAAATAATAAAAAGAAAAAAATAAAGAAAAATAATAGCTTATTTTTTAGAGTTCTCCACATTCGTGCGATTCGAGTAATTCCTAACTCTAACTAAAATTTGAAATTGGACCTGCTCTCTTTGAGTGCGTTTATTTGACGTTTCTTCGGTGCTTTACCGAAGCTTTAGTTTGTAGACGGGCCACCTCACGTAATATCCACGTGTACGCCGTCCTTCCCCCCCCTCTCTCTTTCGACTATTCATAGCCACACAGCAAAGCGGGTCACGTTCAGTATTTTTCAGCTCTTGTTACGCGAAACTAGAAACAGATTGACAATGAGAAAGTAAGGTGCAGAGACAAAGGTGTATGTATGTTAATGTATGTACATCACTAACACGAAATCTAAAAGATTTTTTTTTTAATGTTTCAAATTATCAAAAGTAAAACAAAAAAGATAGAAAGAGATAAAAAACTAGTCAAGTTGACATTTTCGAGAAAATTTTTGAAGTGAAAGGCAACACTCCATAGTAGACGCTTTCGGTTAAGATGTACTTTTTCATTTTCTTAGATGTTCCCTTGACGAACCCTTTAAGCCTTAATCGAAAGAGGTCGTATTGCGTTTCCAGTATTTAACGTTGCGTCTAATCGATATTCGAGTTAATTGACGTTGCCATAATATACCTTTGTGCCTTCCTATGTGCTATTTAGGGATAAGAAGGTTAAGCATACAATTATATGTTTTCTTATAATTTTCGTTTTTCAAAATATCCAACGAATATCAAACGGAAGCTGTTATTTTCTTTGAAAAATGAAAAACACCTTGTCCTCGTCGTCGCGCAAGTTTTAATTTCGTAATAATTTCTTCTTAATTAAGTTATTAGGCCTGAGACTAATTTATTTATTCTTATATTTTTCTACATATTTTATGGACGAAATGTTCGCTTTTCATACTATTTTTCATGCCATCTGTATCAAGATATTTACACGTCGATATGTTGACTTTGTTTTCTAAAATATATTATGTTTTTATCTTTTTTCAGAAGGGAGCATACACCAAAGCTCAATTATGAATCCTGAGACGATGATAGCGAGTCATAGTTAAGGTAAGAATTTTTCCTCCGTGAAAAAATCTAAAGAGAGAAGTAAAATAAAAGGCTCGTTTGTCTGAATATTTGATTATACTCGTTGCACAAGAGCAAAACAAAATTTAGAATAGACACAGTTTTTTAGTGGATTCGTGAATTTCGAGTCATTAAATCAAATCAACGAAGTCATTTTTGGCTAACTACTATTGCGTTTTGACTTGCGAGATTGCAGCAATAACGAATGCTTTCTCAACATGCTTTTACGTGTAAATAAGTAGTGAGTATGAGCTATTATTAGGGAGCATTTTTTGCTTCTATCGACGACTACTCATCTTCTTCTTCCTTCTTCGATTTTCGATCGATTTCTCATGGATATGAAGAACCAATATGTACTTGTATGCATCGTATATACGTAAGATTCTGTAAAATGAGAACGTAAGAATATTTACTGAAAATAGAATATTCACGAAAAATATGGACTAAAAAGTCTGAAAAAAGTCAATTTAAAAAATGGCTAACATGATACTTTAAAACCTATTAAACTGGATTGGTTGCTAATTTTGGAATATTCCTTCAGTGCATATGTTGTTATAGCCTATACTAAAATGAATTCAAAATATTTTTTTTCATCCGTTAATGATACGAAAAATATATAAAAATCAGAAATCAAATATCAATATTTTTTCAACTATCGATTTGCTTCTTTTATTTTGCTACCTGCTATAGCTAAACTCGTTCGAAGTAAGAATCACTTAAATTTTTTTCATTTCAAATGAACAGAATAGCAAGAGTCACGTGGGCCATGAGAAAATGTCCAAACGTTTACGTTGCCATAAATTTTTATTATTTTTTTCTAATAAAAGTTTTAAACATTACAGAAACATGAATAAATATATGAAACAAATTTTGACTGAAAAAATTGTTACTTTTAAAAGTTATTTTATGTTACTTTATAAAAAAATATAAAAACTTGTTACTTTATAAAAAATTATAAAAACTTGTTAAAAAAACTTTACTATAGAATAAAATACTCCCTTAAGAATTTGAACTATTACAAGTAATTTTTATCAAAAAGTATATCCAAAGTTTCTTCCTCAGATGGTCTTTTCTTCATTACATTATACTATTTCGTTTTCGTCGGTAAAAGGTGTAGGTTCAAGAGGAACAAGTAAATACAGAGTTTTTTAACTTTTATCAGTTATACCTAAGTTAGGTACAAAACTTCAATTCAGACGAATCATGAACCAATTTTTTTTTAATTGTAATCAACTTTTGTGGCTAACTTTTATCAGATGTAATAAAACTAGAAAAATATCTTGATTCATACAGAATTATAACAAAGTCATTAATGAAATCTTATGATTATAAAGAAAATTATTAAACTATTTATTATTTCAAATATTAATAATTATATATGAGATAAAAAAATAAAAACTGTTTAAAAGTCCAGTATATACTTAGAAGCTTCCATAAAACAACACAACTTTTTTAGAACACACTAAAATCGCCGATAAATGTATGGTATTTTAATAATATAGTTACAAAAGGAACACGTGCCATAAAATTTATTAACTTTCGACAAAGCTTGATGCTTCGTGAGTGTACAAATAAATAAAGAAATTCGGTACATTTTCTCCTTCGAATAGTACAAATTTTACAGCTTCCACAAAATTTTTGAAATTGACTTTTTTCTGGCTTTTCAGTGCAAATACCCCACTGTGGAATGGACGAGCAGATACGAATAGACAAATAAAAAGTAGAAGAGAGTTTGTGAGAGACCAAGAAAAAATGGAAGGAGAAAAATTAGCAGAGTAAAGAATATGGACTAAAAAGAAAAGCGAAAACGAAAAATATCTTATAAAGAAGGGTAGAAGCAATGCGTTTATTGGATTTTCGCCATAAAACGCATTGTACATACTATACGGTACGTGTATCTACGTATTTACACCCTTATTTCATGAATAGCTTCGCCGAGCATGCGTTCGCTTAGGCTCACAAAAACGAGTCGCCTTTTGTATGATCTACTCTTTATTTTTATCTTTTTCTTTCTTTGTTTCTTTTTATTTTAAAAGAAAAATCGTCTGTAAGCAAACGCGTCAAATGTGTGCGCGCGAAGAAGTCGCGGTTGCTTTTCCTATCTGCTCGTTACGAATTTAGCGCGTGTTCATAGGTAAATAAACCTACGTCTATTTTTTAGGTCCAGTAGACTGAACCTCAGAAACGATTATATTTTACATGGAATGAGAATAGTCCAGAGTTCTTGTGAAAATCTCTTTCGACTACCTCGCTAGTATATTTTTGTGTATTTTCTCTTTTCTGTTTTTTTCATTTTATATAATTTTTCTATTGTGTATATTTTTTCCGATAATCAACATTAGTTTGAATTTCAATTATAAATTATTGATACTCTATCTAAATATATATACATCATCGTACGAGTTTTTTACTCTAGATTTTATCATATTCGTTGTCATAGCTGATAATAGAGTTTTTCTTGTATTAATTTAATTTACCATAGGGAAAAAATAGATTAATGTGCAAAGAAATAGTGTAACGTCGAAATTTATTGTGTCACGAACTTTAGTGGGAATAATCTCGTAAAGTAAAAAGTGGAGGAACGTATGCAGATAGATAGATAGATAGATAGATAGATAGATAGATAGATAGATAGATAGATAGATAGATAGATAGATAGATAGATAGACGGGTAGATAGATAGATAGATAAATAGATAAATAGATAAATGGACGGACGAACAGACAGATGACAGACAGACAAACAGACAGACAGACAAATAGAGAGTGAGAGGATTAAGATCGGACCACGATAAGTTTATAAAAAAGATCTTTGTTTTATGAGTGAGTTGGTGCAGGGCACAATATCTTACAATCAAGATTATGGATCTACTACTCTCACGTTTTATTTCGCGAGAGTTTTCCTTCTACATGCTTTTTCTCCCATCGTTAGACCTTCCTGTGAATCTCGCGAAAGCGAGAAAGGCCAAAGTTTCACTTTGGTACTATTCATTGTTCGAATCGACGACTTTAATCATGGCTCCTTTTAAGGGAATACGCATTTCACCCGATGAATTGTCTTTCTTTCTTCTTTTTTATCTATTAGTTAATAATTTAAAATATTAATTAATTAAAAATATTAATTTTTATTAAATACTCTGTAAAAGTAAAACGTGTTGTACACGAAAAAATTAGATAAGGTTCTAATTTAGGAATATTGATATAAGAAAAAAGTGTAAGAAAAAAGTTGCATTTATACGTGGACAAAAAGGTGAAACGCAGATGTTAGACTGCACATGCAGCACAGCTTTGAATGGGAAGATGTCCAATGTGAGAACGACGTGCCTTCCATCCTGGTCGAAAAGTTCCCTCCTATGCCCCCCTCCCTTTTCCTTTTTTCCTTCATTTTGTAATTTTTCTTCTCTTCAGAATAATTCGAGATGTTCTATTTTTTCAATAAGATTAGATGACGTACGATTTTGCAAAGTAGCATTCATATGTAGCGAGTACTCAGATACAAGGATAAAGTATGACAGGTTAAATTAAATCCGAGGCTTGCAATTAATACAAGATTTTGTGGGCTTTGCGTTTTTGGATTAAGCACTTAAAATTTCCATGACCCTCTGGGATTCTCTTTAACTCTGATCAAATATTTACTTTTATTATCTCATCTTAACCTTTGAAATACTTGATTCAACTGCTTTAATTTAATTTTACTGCTTTATATTATTTCTTTTTCAGCGTGATTTTGTAAGTTTCAGTATCTTTTGTTTTGAAAGAAAAACTGAAAAAAAACAGAAGTGTTCTATGATCAGTAAGAGGATAGAACATTCTTGTGTTTTTATAATTACTACGATCGTATTATCGCAAAACTGTTATAAAATTTAATTATTCATACAAGTCTTAGTTAATTATTCCTTTTCTACCAGCATGAAAATACATCGAATCTACGGACATTGGCCCAGAATATACAGAAATAGGACGATCGATTGTTGGGGTCAGTGACTCAGATGAATTTTCTCTCAAAGAAAAGAAGTTATTGATTGATATTGTAGCTATCAAACATATATCGTTATTGTTAAAATACTGTCACTTTGAACGTAGTAAAATTTATTATAATTTCTTTTTGTATCTCTACCGATTATTCGCATTTTTATTGCAGAAAATAAAAAAGCTGAGAAAAAAGGTTCACTTCACGTTTATCTTATTGTGTCTGTGACATAATTATCCTATCATTGATCGACAATTATTTGATATGGAAAGTTTTCGTACTTGAAGCTTAATTTGATGGCTAGATATTTTAGTAGATATATGGTGATAGATATTTTATGATGAATAATAGACATGGAAGTAAAATACTTATAATGAAGAGATAGATCCGTCGTGCTTTAAATAGATGTCGATAGTGAGTCATCGGTCATCTTTAATACTTTTGGCCTAAATCGTGCATTCAGTATTATGTTATGAATTGATTCGTAATCCGTATATACAAGTAGATCTAGCAATATGACCGTTTATTATAAAAATGGTATAAATCTATTTTCTTTGTTAATAACATATTTAAGAGTTTGCATTTCACTCAATTCAAAGATATTGACAAATAATAATTTTTTTCCATATCTTTTGGAATGTAAATTAATTTAAATTTATTATCCATTAATTCTTACAAGAATTACTTTAAAAAATAAGAGTTTTTATGGGCCATAAATTTACATCACTTCCATAATAAATGATTCATATATTCGCTACTACAGCGTAAGGAATAGAACGTATTTTGTTAATTCGTTTTTTTTTTTTTTTTTTTTTTTTTCATTTTGCTTCATTCGCATTGTATACTTTTATATATAAAATAATTCTAGGTAAGATGACCCTGCGGGTGAGATGACTCGGTCTTATATTTTATAGATATAGTGCGATTTTCAAATATTTTTAATGATAGAATTGACAATTATTTTAAAACTCATGAATAGTACTTTTTATTTGTTTTTAACTAAGAGATTAGATGTTATTTATAATACAGGAATTAAATGTTTTCAAAAAATTTCTGCTTGTTTATTAAATCATAATTTACCAAAAAATAATGACTTATTTGAATACAGTAAATTAATATAATATTTAAAGGTTATTGAAATTAGAAAGTAAGAGATATTGATAATTAAACCTGACTCAGCTGATGTAAAATTGAATTAAATTATAGCAAAATTGCAATTGGTTTTTTTTTTTTAATCAAATTGCTTAAATTTATGGATATTATAGCCAAACTTAAACATTCATATTTTTTTTATTATAAAGAAAAAAGAAAAAGAAAAACAAAAACTGAATATATAGAAATATGACTGAATATATAGAAGTAATAAATTCAATTGTCCTTTCTAAGCGTTCGAGCAAAAAATTCAACTGTGTTAACTTTCCTTTATTATATATTGTTTTTATATAATAAAAAGAAATTTAAGAAAACAATGTGTAAAAGGTGAAGAAATTTGTTTATAATATCTTTTTAGTCTTTTTTGCTGTTGAATATGCAACTATACCATTATTTACATTCATTCCATTCATTTTCTTATTATAGTCAACTTCTTCAGGTTTTTCTTTTACATTCCTTTTTTCTATTTCCACTATATTGTCATCATGAATTGTACTAAGAAATAATACATCTCTTTTATCTTCAAAAACATCATTTCAAAAGTATCATTTTATTTCTATATTTTGCAATATGTTCCCTTTCTTTAGATTTTCATCAAAGATAGAACAGATATCTTGACGAGATAACAGATAGAAATTTCGAAAAAACAAAGAGAAAAATATACTCGGAGATTTATAAATATTTTATTTGTGCAAATTTTTTTAAATGATTTTTTTTATTTCTTTGTTTCAAAATAATCATAAATATTAAATTTATGAATATACTTTAGCTTTTACTAAAATTTAAATTGAAATTTAATTTTAAAACTTAAATTTAAGAAGGTAATTTTTTTCGCACGAGTATATTTGTCAACATCAAAAAATACCATTTATTTATGACGAATATACTTGTCAAAAACAGTTAAGAGATCAAGATATCGATCTTGGATGAACGTATCATGTTTGGGTTCGACAACCCGTTACATCGAGCTGGACAGACAACTCGGATAAGGCTAACGTTGCGCGATACTTTAGTTTCATACTTTCTCTATCATTACTCGTTGCGTAACGGCGGAACGCTTGACCTAACGCGTACTCATAGGCTAGTAACGACTCAAGGAAGTGAGAGGAAACAGGCTACCGACACGTTGAGACTTCTTGAGAATAGGTACACAAAATCTATTATAATAATGGAACAGGGAGAACATCTTTCTTGGACGATCACAAATCGTGTGTCGAAACGTGCTATAATTCAACAAGAAATCGATATAACCACTTACATAATATTATATATGTAAGTGTATATTGGCTTAATAATCGTTCTACGCGTCACGTGTTACATCATAAGTACAAGAAATTTACTCTTCGTCTATACTTTTTCTTTATCTATTTCTATCTTATACTTTTGTAAGTTTATCGTGGAAAGTGATCATTCATAACGTACATAGTCGAGTGAATCTTTTAAATATAAGAACTTTTCTGTTTTTGAATACTCCACGTATATCTTCCCGATGATATAGCTCATCATCTTGCTACTTTTCTCTTTTCCTTAAATCTCTATTTGCAAATCCTTCAATATAACGCAGTTTTAACCAGTCGTTTTTTAGCAGCTGATTCGATTAGGAGATAGTGTCCCATAGAACTTAGCGAATAATCTTAGGTTTTATACATTAAACATGATCATACAATATATCTTAACATTAAAATATTTATATTAACATAAATATCATGTTAAAACTAATCAGGCAAAATTCTTTTAAAATTGCTAACGAATCATTATCACGTTCAGAAACACGAAAGTGTTCTGAATTTTCAATGAAATTGATTCAGCGATACTGTTACTTTTTAACTTCATAATTTGTTATAAAAGTAGACAACAGTTTTAAAATAGTCTTTCAATTTAAATAATACATAAAAAATAAAAAATATCTTCATATTCTGTAAAAGCTGTGTAAAATTCCAATGACATCATTTCGACTATTAACATGTTATTACAATATGTTAATTTTTAAAATATAAGTGTTTATAATCAAATAAATGCCATTTTGAAAATTGTCAAACAATCAATCTGAAATTTTTCTTCAGATATATCTATTAACTATGCGTAAAATTCTTATATTCATTCAGTTAATTTATTTTTAAAATTCAGAAAAATTTACAAACATATTTAGAAAATGTAATAATTCATGTAGAATTTTAAACAGAATTGAAAATTTTCATTTTTATCAAAATGTGTAACGAGACAATGGTTATTCCGATACTCCCTGGGGCCATGTTAAACAACAATGTAGGAAAGAATGAAAATGTTTCTTCAACCGATATTATTAGGGAAAAGCCCAACCAGGAGACTTCGAGTAAAGAAAAAATGTACTTGGTAAAAATACAACTAAATATTCGCTCTCGCTCTCTTTTCTTCTACTATAGAAATAGAACAATATAGTTCTTGAAAGTTTCAATATTTTTTAAACTGGCCAATCAGTTGTATCACTTCCTTTGTTAACTCTACTTTTGTATGAGAACGAATAAATATCCTAATAAAAATTCCGCTTGGAAGAAAGTGAATAATAATTGATTGTATTTTCTCTTAACGTTAGTAGCAAGCGTCCAAGGGATGATGCTCACTCCGTCACGCTATCCTACTATTTAAACTTGGAAAAAGATGAGGTCGTAGACGCAGAAAGAGAAAGAAAGGAGGAAAGCAGTCTCCTACTAGGTTGGATTTGAAATTAGTTTCATTTCGTCGTGGTGCTTTGCGATTTGATATGTTATGGTAACCAAGAAGTCGAGTCGAAATGAAGGCCTAGGATATGGATTAAGAGTATAGGCTAGAAGATGCAAGCTAGGGAATGCCATTCTCGTTCATCGCCTTAGCACCACTTTAATTTTGGTTTATACTGGATATCGATTCCCAACCTCTGTGACTACGCGCGTTTTCTATCTTTCCTCTATATCCGAGCAAATCTTCAAATTTAAATAAATTTCATCACGAGGAATTTCTGCTAGATGGATGTACTTCAGGATCGATTTCGAGTCAAAGGACATCAAAACGTATATGAAATTTTCATCAAGTATAGGTATGTATTTGAAACTTATGCTAATTTAATTGCAATTCGTTTACATGCGCTATTTTTTACATCGTAATATTATTTAAATAATATAATTTACGAGTTCGTAATGATTGACAAATTGATCGCATATTATAGTTTTAAGTGTGTTCTTTCTATGTGTCTACGCATAGCTTGTATGTGCGTATATGAAGTTTGATCAAATATATTATACAATCGTGACGTCGGCAAATAACGAGAAAGGAACTTTCAATTTTCTCGAAGATTCGCTTTCGATAGTCTCGAATCGTATTTATACGCATGTATGTTGTGTGTGCATGTATGTAATGATAAAGAGGGAGGGAAGGAGGGGAAAGAGAGAGAGAGAGTTCAACTAATATCATATACCGAGATTTTCTTCTCTTCTTCTCTTCCTCCTTCCTTTTCCTCTTTCTTTTCTCTTTACTATACGGGCAAGTTCAGCAACTTTTGTTATATTCGATCATACAATATATTACCAAGTTAATTATGATTATTTATATTCTTCCTATTAGATGGCATTATTGCTATTCTATATTCTTCGAGTTCGATACACTCATTTTGTTTCTCAAAACGTAAGGGTAAAGAGAAGGAAACAATTTTTGACTCTTTCGAGATGATCGTTAAGAAAAATACTTGGAGCGTTTTATTTGATTCACTTTTATGTACGTGGATATACATATTTATGAAACACTCGAGTATCGTACGGATTGAAAGGGAACCTTTAATATTCGCCCTCGTCGGATGGATGAAAGTTATTGCAATGAAAAGAGAGAGAGAGAAATAGAGATAGAGAGAGAGAGAGAGAAAGAGTCGAAGAATGCGATACGATCATAAAATTTTAGAGGCCCTTTTTTGTTGGATCTGAAAACGAACGGAAAATACGTTGCCTAGTCATAAATTATAAAAAGATCGCAGGATTAATAGCGCAAAATGTTAGTAATATAATACCATCTTAGTAATATAATACAATCTTAGGATTAGTTCGAAATTTTATCATCGAAAATTATTATATATCGATTATGTATATAACATCAAATTCGTTTTTATATTTATTTATCGATATATAGAATAAAAAATGTCAAATAATTCAAATAACTAGATAACAGTATAAAGTAATAAGTGCATTATTTAACAGTTATATTATTAATAATTTTTTGTTTCTATTAAAAAAATTAAATATTGAAATTATGAATAAAGTGAAAATATAATTGTGATTCTCAGGATAACGTGTCTCGTTATTAACATAGACAACAAATACAAGAAAACCTTAAATTTGTAAGTATTTGAGAAATATATTTCGTTTTATGTTATTAATAGCATTTGATCTAATAGACTCACGAATTAAATCAGTATTATAATGGAAGCACGTAAGAAAGGAGCGAGAATGGGAGAGATAAGAACAAGAGAGTGAATCAATAACGATGGTTACGCGGCATTCTGCGCAACGCCGATGAAGCTTAAGCATTTGCTTGGAAAACGGAAGATCGTGTTGAAAATCGAAGGTCAATGAAAGTATACGTTTACAAACTGGAGTGACAATCTTCCAGAAGAAAGAATTATTGTTTATCGTAAAATAATGCGAATGCGAATAAGTAATCGTGCTCATGCTCGTTATTGGTTCACTATGTTTCTCTCCTGGTTTCTCCTGATGCAGGCTAGTGGGTCACCCTGAACGCACTACTCTGTATAATCTCCCCCACTCTCTCACAGTTTCGCCGATATATCTCAGCTAGCGCTGTCAGGCCGTTTACTCGGCCATTACAATTTCAATGGACGTACCCATCGAAGATAACAAAGATTGGTATTCGAGAAGGTTTTTGCATATTTTTTGCTCTGATAACATCTTTGTATAAGTATAATGTATTTTCTGTTATTTCTCTCTATTTTGTAAGCGAGAATTTAGAATAGAAAGAATTAGAATATCTTTCTCTATAAGAGCACTTTCATTCGAGTATCATCGTCAGCACGATGTCGTGCCATACCATCCAGCAGTCTGGGAAAGTGTCTCACAACTTTCATAACCAAGAGCACACTTTTTTCATTCGCGGAATCATGCATCAGGACTTTTTCGCTATGTTCTCTTTCTCCATCCCATTTCTATCGTTTTTTCTTTTCTTTTCTACTTTACAGGTTTACTCGAGCCTCTGCCTCCCGCCGTAATTATCGGTTAAACGAATTCACGTATTTATTTATGCTATCTGTAGCTTAACAGCTTGTAAGCAGCGACGCCTAACTTTTGTGAATAGAGAAAAGAAAAGAAGAGAAAGAGAGAGAGAGAGAGAGAGAGAGAGAGAGAGAGAGAGAGAGAGAGAGAGAGAGAGAGAGAGAGAGAGAGAGAGAGAGAAGAGAGAAGAGAGGAAAGAAAGAATTGGAAGTTAACATATCTATAAAGTCTGTATCGTTATATACGAATTTCAATAAAGCAGCGATCGTGTTGTATTCATTTTACTAAGTAAATAGAAAACCTTTTCAATGAAATATTTTGATATGAAAGTAAATGACTATTAAAGTTCGTACTTTCTTTCAATTTTTATCTTTCTTTTTATATCAGTCTTATCTTGAAAATTATTCATTCTATGATTGGTTTGCGTCTGTAAGAAAAAAAATAAAGGACGAAAGAGATAAATCATGTGCAACTTTTGAAAGAAATATAAAAATAAGAAACAGAGAAAGGGAAAGGGAGATGGGAGGGAGGGAGGGAGGGTGGAAGAGCGAATGAGAAAAGGGAGTGGGGAAGGAAGCAGAACGAAGTATAGCGAGTCCTTTTCTGCAGAAACGAAAATTAACAAAGTGCTTCGTTTCTCGTGGGAGTAATGAGCGATCGCGCGAACGAGTCGAGAACATATCTTGAGTGCATATGTATGCGTTCGTCCTTTAAATCTTCAGAATATATGATTTTCTTTGTCTCGTGATATCTCGATATTCCTTCGGTAAAAACAACGGTAAGTAAAGAGAAAACGTACATTTTCATCAAAGTTCATATATGCCGTTTAAATTTCTTTCTTCTTCCCTATTTTTTATTCGAATTGCATACATTTTCAACGCGATAAAGCATAACTGAATACTATTTAAAGCATATATAAAGCTTGTTACGACGTATTGCAAGTAAATATATATTTCTCTATGATGTGGTTGCATTTTACAGAGTAAGAATGTGTTTATCAAGCTTGATGACGTACGGACAAGGTCATGGAAAAGCGGTATTCCAGCTGCGATCGTGTCTTCGTATGCAACGAAACTTGAAAAAACTCGTACAAGTGTTCATTCTGCAACGTTTTCCTCTTCGAGTTTTTACAATTCTTCACGATGAAGCAATCATTATGCCGTTTAGTTGCTTAAAGTCTTTACAAATCGTTGGATATATTCGCTACGCTTGTTTTCCTTACTCGTTTGCTCGTTTGTTTTTGTTTCTACCTTTTTTCCTTTCGAGAAACCATCTGTGAAATCTCTATTATAAGCGGTTTTTGTGAAAGTACGAGTTTTATCACTTTGTACGCATTATACGTGAAACGATCATACATGAAAAAAAAAGAGTACATTAAAGCAAGAAACATTAGGTTCATTGTTCGTGAATAAAGGATAGAAAGTTTAAAATATGAATAAATATAGAGAAGACAAGACGTTTCTTGATCTTTCGAAAATAAATATAGACAAATTTCTGGTTGCGATTATATGCGATTTCCTTTTTCAGAAATCCCCGTCCATCCAAATTCTTGGTACAATTTCTCCGAGTGAACGATTTAACTTGATCCTTCTCCTCGAACGTGAAATAAGATGCTATTCGTCGTTTATCGATTTTCAGGATTTTCGTTTAACGGGTTGAGAAATACGAAGAAAAATATATCTATTCTATTGAAAAATACATTCAAATAAAAAAGCAGAAATAACCAATTTCGAATGCTATCTATAGTGATTTCGATCGTTTACTTATATGTCCAAACGTTAGGATGATGAAATAGTCGCTATAAAAATGAACAATATTGCTTGAACGGATTCGGTCAATCGTTGGATGGACAAGCTGAAAACGGTAGTTGTAAAGCGGTTGTAAGCAGACAAGGAAGGAAAAGAAGAAAAGAGAGAAACGAGGGTTTTGGCGTTGCACTGAAAAATACAAGGTTTGTACTCATGGCATCGATGACAGTCGACTTGTGAATGGATGCCTCAAATGGATAGGACATAGGCGCATGCACCGCTCCGAGATTGCTCTCATTAAATATGCAGCTCGCAATCACATCTTTTGAATAAAAAAGAGACAACAGGAGGGCGAGAGGAGGCGACAAATTCGATGGTAGATTTGGTAGTGCAGCGATGGTTAGGAAGATGGAGAAAGAAGAGACCAACGATACCGCTGAAACTGCGACTCTCTATTTTCTCTTCCAGGCATGTCACTATCTCGCGTTGCTGCGTTCGCGAAAAATTTTCATAACTAGTCAATCCTACTGTCATATGTCGTCGTCGTAGCCGATGTCGAGAGCTTTTCTTTCACATCGAACCACCGAGGAATGCTTACAAGGACTTTATCCGCGATTTACCTCATTACCGACTGCTGTTTGATTTTTCTTCGTGGCAGTCATCGCACTCATCGATTGAAAATGAATACTAACTTCTTTCAATTTTTACATTTACTCGTTTTTGCTATAAATTCTTTTATTACTTTTAAATCGTGCATCATTGCTCACAATTTAGAAATGTATAACTTGCTAACAAACACAGCATTTCTGTCTAGCCAGAAGGGCTCTGCACGAACAATGTAGTTCTCATTAATGGCCAATATTATCTTAAATATTCCTGGAAATTTTTGGAAAATTTCTGTTGGTTCTACAATTTTTTATGCTTTTGTAATTCTTGGAAATTTCATTATCAACCATTATCAAACCTAAATTATTTATGAATTCTTATTGCAAGTAATCCCATTTTTGGTAATTTCAAGTCAATTTGCTTAACTATTTGTATGCACACGCGCACACATATGTGTAAAAGGACATTATGTATAAATTTTAGTTGAAAAAATATACATAAATAAAAATCTTTCATTAAAATCACAAATTTTCATTCATCCGTCATCTTTAATAGGTTTCATAAAAAATGTTGACAAAGTTTATAGTTACGATATATCTGCATTGTTTTAAATATTTCTGCAGAGTTTAAATTCTTTATGTTACATATGTGTGATTTTTTATAAATTGTTTAATTTTTGAAAATAATGCTTGTTGCAAATAATGTCATTTTTGATACAAAATTTCAAGTCAATTCATCCATTTGTTTACATGATAGAGTAGATACCTACTATATATATACCTACATACATGCACGTGCACATATATATGTGTACATATATTTAGAATTTGATATGAAAAGTAAAAATTAAAGAAGGTTTTTAAATATTTGAAATAGTTTCGGATTTAATTTTCTGTAATACATTCCGTTACATCAAACACATAAGGATATATACTCAAGAAAAGCAATGGAATCTCATGATCGAAAGAAAAATGATATTACGAATACGATTGTTCATGATACCGATCCGGTTTTATATATTTGTATGCTAATGAAAAATATTTGTAATTTGGTAAACTTATAGGGTTACGTCAAGGAAGATTTATATAGATTTAAAAAAGTTTGGTATTTTTAAAATGTTGCAATAACACTGAATTTTTTAACAATTATAAGTATACTGTACGTACTATAATACTGTATAGTTAGGTATATAAGTACATAACATTGTTCTGAATTTTCAAGGAGTTACGAATCTAACAAGTTATGTTATGGATTTTCGAGGAGTTAGCTGGCAGGAATGCTGCGAAGTTTATGCTTCTTCTTATCTTATGGGGGTATTCCAAAGGATCCAGATAGATCGTTACGTTCATAGATATGCTTCTGTATGCGACCATTTGCTGCGACTTACACTAGTAGTACCTGAAAAGTCTCAAATAATAAAAATTAAATATTGTTTTCGATAAGTAATATATAAAAGGAAAAGAAATAGTAAATTTGCTAATCAAGTATGAAGCAAAAAATGACCTGTTGAAAAGAAAAGCTCCCTATGTAGCGAGTTTAATATTTCTAAGGTAACCAAAGTAACAATAATCTTATTGTTAATTCGTAAGATTTCGTCTATCTAAGTGGCAAAATGTTATACGTTTATATAATTAATCGAATAAAAAAATGTATAGTGATTCAAAAATATAACTTTGAATTAAACAAAATCCTATAAGGGTTTATAATCTTATTATATAATAATCTTATTAAATAATTATATACATAGATGATGAGGAAAAAAAAAGAGAAAGACATTAATACAGAAAAAATTTTTTTTTCAGGTGGAACGGTCGATGTCTAATGGCGCGAGCTGGAACGCAGCGCTGGAGAAATCCTGCTCCAGAGTAAGTAGAAATTCGATCAGGACTTATTTTTTTCAGTTTTGCTTTATTAGCTTCACCATTAGTTATCAAGCTAGTTTTTAGTAGAATAAGCCGAAGAATGATGGCCCATTTTTTTAAATACTTCAATAGATTGTAAATTTAATCGATATTCAAATAAAAAAAATATATTTACAAAAGTTGATACATAAAGAATTATAATATTGAGATAAAATTAAAAAATAATCATAGATTTTTATAAAAAAGAAAAATGTTTTCTATGGACAAGGCCATCTCACTCAAACTATTCTTGTTTCGATGCACAGCTGTACTACTGCCCATAATTGATATATTCAGCATTATCTTCTGCCTCAAGACTCTTCAGACTTTTGATATATAAAATCTGAAAAATTATCATTCGAAGATAATCTTTCATACGCTTTTTACATTTGAGCTTGCCTGAATTTTTAGGTTATTTTTGCCACTTGAAACATCTTCATTTTCTAATTAGTTGAACTACATCTAATGACGTGTTAGGGACTGAATAAATTTTATTTAACATTGTATCTATTGTATCTAGATTGCGTCTATGTCTGTTATGGAGATCTTTTTATTAAATGTTTACAAACAACCAGATGAGACAGGTTTTGGTTTTCTATTTTCCTTTGTATTTTCTTCAGTCACATGAGACACGTTGTCCTAATTGTTGTTTCTCATTTAAGAAAACGCATAGATCTTCGCAATAAACCTTTGTCATTAAAAATGATTAACATAAAGAATAAAAATTCACCATCACTTAAGTAGCTAGGTTTACATCGTAAGGATGTAACAATATATAATTTTATGATGTTAACTATTCCCGAAAAACCTGTATCATCTAACCCAAGAGTCAGGCAGTAATAATAATAATTAAGATATAGAATAAATAATTTAAAGTAATAATAATTTACTTACTTTTTCAATAATGCTACAATAGTATATCACCGGATGAATATAAATATAATCTTTAAATATTATATTAATACACTGTTTTCAGAAAGTCATTATTTTTTGGTAAATTGTTGGTAAATTATAATTTAAAGAATAAACAGAAAATTTTTGAGAGTAATTTCTATATTACAAATAACACCTGATTCCTTAATTGAGAACAAACAAAAAGTACTATTTATGAATTTTATTAATAATTTTCAGTTTTATCATTAAAAATATCTGAAAATCGCACTATGTCTATAAAATATAAGACCAAATTATCTCATCCGCAGAGACATCTTAGCTGGAATTACCTTATATAAAAATAAAATAAGAAATAGAAGTTTACAAATTTCTGTAAATTGAGTGATTTTCTCGATGCTTAGCAATGAGTTTCACAAGCGAAGAATACCGTCTTGTAAGCAGTGACAAAAAAAAAAGAAAGTAGGGTAGGATGGGAAGAAAGAAAAAAAAGAGTGAGAGAGAGAGAGAGAGAGAGAGAGAGAGAGAGAGAGAGAGAGAGAGAGAGAGAGAGAGAGATGTGCAGGAGATTCGAGTATCTTTGATGAAAGACCGTCTCGATTGGAGTATCTGTTGTGATTTCGAACGATAAATAATTGAGAAGAAGAACGTCTCAGGTAAATTTTACGTTGTAAGTACTTTTTCTACTCTACTATAGCCAACGTCAACACGAGTTATCGATTGCTAACTCTTTGAAACAAATGCTACGTTTCTTTCGCTTTCTTTTTTTTTATCTTCATTCGAGTCAGTTTTCAATTGTAAGAGTTATCAAAATCATTTTATACATTATGAGAGAATTTGATACGATCACGTGTTACACCAAACAATTCTTCAGAGTTTGTATAGACTCAAATAAAGCTTTCTCCTCTCTCATGCGAGCGGATGGATTTTGGAAATATTTCAATAATATTTATAAATCAAAAATCGATATTCGATTTCGAGAAGAAATCTTTGAAAGTAAATCTATGTTGAAGCTTTTGAGAACAAGGAATCGTGAAAAATATCAGCTATAATTGTCAGATAATGAAAAACTGAGAGTTCATTTTGAAAGTTCGTATAATTTGTAAGATATTGTAATATACTTTGAAATGAAAACAGTGAAAAAGTTACAAGTAGAATATTGTAATATACCGACAAGTTCGATGCATCTTTCCGTTTACTTCTCGATTCTCCTCGAATGGAAAAGGAGAGAAAGCTAAAATAGCGATGATTTTATCTTTCATCGAAAAACAAGGAATCGATACAAAAGGCAGGATGTTTCGAACTTCTCGTTAGCAGGAGTTAAACCGATGGAATAGAGAAAGCAGAAAAAAGAGGAAAAAAGAATAGGGGTGTAGATGTTGTGGGTCTACCGGCGCCATCGCTATACCCTCACCACTTTCCACAAATCTGTTGGTGTGCCGTCGCGTCGAAGCCGCATTCTTCCGTTTTACACGGTACTGATTAATGTACGGCGTAACGAGTCGGATTAATTATCAGTTATTGACTGACGAGAAAGAGAGAAGAGAAAGAGAGAGAGAGAGCAAGAGAGAGATGCATTGCCGCGTAGACCAATTAACTACTTACAGGCTTTTCATCGGCTCTCGACAATCGTCGAGATCGATTCGGGGTGAATAACTTTTCCAAAGAGCTTTCGTTCTTTTTCTTATTCGTTCGTATCGTTATCCCTGAACTTTCCTAGATGGCTTATCCCTCTCGTATTAACTCGGACGGTATTCCTTTCATCCCTTTGCTTTCTACCATCATTTCTTGCCATCTGCACCGTGCGTAAAGAGCCTTCTCGAGGCATCATATTTTCGTCTCACCCGTTGCCGTTTAATTCCAAGAGAAAAGAGGGATATTTTCTCTCAAGCAGGAAGTGAATTTTTCTAGTTGCTTTTACGTGGTTCACGTGGCATCGATTCTATCAAAATACATAAAAGATCCAGATTTTCCTTGACAACAATCACGACGGTACGTGAGTATTCATCATTCGAAGAATTTCGAAGGCGTTCGAGGATGATATCTCGTCTCGAGAATTGATTTAGACGAAGAGAATGAGAGTAACGTAGTACGTTACAGGAGAGATGGTGCTACATATGTATTTTTATGGGTAACTCTCTCACCTTTACAGTATACACCCCTTATCTCCATATTCATCGTTTCGTTCACCAGGTTGCCCTTTGTTGCACCTCTTACTCTTATTACCATCCTTGACCCATTGACAGCTCGCATATAGTAACGATAGGATAAAGAAAATTCGATTTGTTACGATCGCTGATATATTAGACGGGATATTTATAATGCGGATAAATTTAGAATAATAAAAGAAAAATTTTAGAAACTTTTAAATATTGATAATTGTTATTAACCGATGTTGTAACTATGATCATGTGTCAACAATACACGAGAGGAACAATGTCAATGAATTTGCTGCAATCATTTTCACTTCTATCGCCGTTTTATCAACAATCCATTAAACGAAATCTTCGAAAGCCGATGCGTATACTGATGAACGCGGAACCGTGAAGTTGTAAATAGAATAGTGTGAATTCTAAGATTGAATATTGACGTTCGTCATGTTATTATATGAAATTATCATATGTTGAACGATTACGAAAAAAAATGTTTATATATTCTTTGCGATTAAGATATTTTTTATTGTTATTTCCATCGTTGTATTAATTTAATTTCCAAAAATTCATTTTAAAAATCTATAAAACTTGTGCCCATTCGAAAAAATAAGATAATAGTTTCGATGAAATAATAAAATTATCAAGCAATATCTTATAAATTTCAATCGTTATAATTTTTCTGTATAATTCTATAAATCAGCCCATTTATCAAGATCCGCAGCAATTATATCTAACTTTAAAACCGAAAAATTTTACCACATAGGTATCATTTAATTTTTATCATGTTATTGATTTATTCCTACTAACAATAAAAACTATATTAATCAATCTTTGGTAATACGACAAATTAAATTTATAAGAACTTGCTTATTTATATTTGAAATAAAAATGAACATTTTTTCCATATAATTTTCACCTTTTTACTTTTTTCTATTTTTCTCTTTGTTCTTTTTTGCTAGTCCTTCTTTAGTTTTTTCATCATTCAGCGAACATCATGATTGCAGAATATCGTGATGACGTTACGATCAATGAAAGGACTACTCGTACCAGGAAATTATTGGACGTTATGCTCTTTAATTTATGTTTTTCATTCTAAAAGACATTCTTCGCTCGAAGAAGCATCAGATCATTTTTAGAACGCGCCGTTGCTTTCATGAGTAGGAGTTTTTCCTCGTTATTTTCCTCGCTCTTTCCGCTTTTTTCTTTTTTTCCTTTTTTCTTTTCGATGCGAATGGCTTCTCTGTGAAGGGCCCTTTATCCTGCTGAGATTCTAAATGGAGAACTCATTCTTCGATATTGTAATTCGACGATGCTTTTTTTAAGCGTGAAGAAATTCATCGTATTTTCGAATTTATTATTAGTCGTGTGTATGTGCGTGTGTGTGTGCGCGCGTGCAAGAGAGAGAGATCATTTCAAGGAGATCTACGAATTAATGAAATAAAAGTCATTCAAATTTACGTTCTTTAATTAGACGAACTTGATAGGGGGTGATGGAACCTCGAACCGAATTCATCTATAAGTATACCAATATATATCGACTGCCGCCGCGTCAAACGGAACTTCGAAGGTGATTAGGAATTACGCTAATGAGAGGAAATTGCAGAACTTGGTAGTGGCTACATTCGATCGGTATTTTGAAAGTAGCGCCGAACATATGTCCGTATTTAATGATCAACATCGGTTACTTTTATCGGTTAGTTTTATATATTCTAGTGTTCATATGTCTCGTGTGTAAAATAAATAAATAAATAATAATAATAATAAAAATAATAATAGCAATAATAACAATAACAATAAAGATTTGGATTGTAATACAGTAGATGCCGATCAACTATTAAAAATAACGTAAATTGTTTACTGTATTTTCGCTTCTATTTTCCTCAGCATTAATAATCCAATATCACATAATCTGAAAATCGC